TCAGAGAGGGAAAGAATACGATAAGTTACATTTTTCATCTCTTGCTTCAATTTGAAGTATTGTTAGTGCGAAACTATACTTTTGATATCAAACCAGATTCTTTCTATTTTTTTTAGCTATTTTCAATATTTCTTCCCCCAGAGAAACATAACTATCTTCCAAGATAATGTATATATATTTAGAAATATTAATTCGTTAGAATTACACTGTTGTTTAAGAGACTGAATTAATTAACAAGAAAACATATTTGTCATGATGCTTCCTAACATGAGACTTATCAACGAGACTTCGCTAAGTTTCAAAGTTACCTTGTTGCTTACTGGTAACGTCAGCCTGATATTTATCTAAAATGGCTGCCTCCGCTTCTCGCGTCATCGCTAGCAGCAGTCCAGGAGTCTCATCTTTGCTCCTGAGGGCCAAAACGTAATCATCCATAAGCCGGCCAATTTTCGCGCTTAAATCAGGATACCTAAATATAACGAACGAAATCCTCCATATAGCATTCTATTACAAATCAAAGTACAATGTATTTTTTTTTTTTTTTCTGCACTGTCAAAATCTGGAATTTGATATTCTGAGACGTTGACTGTTAACTGTTATGGCGATCGACACGTTACCGTTCTAACATCAACAGACTCTGATTGGTGATTCTATCGATCTCTGCCAAGTGTTCCAACGTTGCTGGCTTCTCGCGTTGAGCTTGCTCCAAGCTGCTGTCCAGCAGATGTTTGTAATGGGCAATGGTGTGGTGCCTGTCTTTGTGGAGAGCTCGAAGCAATTTCTGGAGGCATTTCTGGATTCGGTGGATCTAAAGATAGAATGAACGAATGTGACAAGCTGCTCGTGAATTTAAGGATTTGTGAAACAGTTGAGGCACTTACATTTGGTGGAGTCTCGTTCAGAGCAGCTGTGTAGCATGACATTGCTTCCTCGTTTCTTTGTTTAACTGCTTCCTATAAATTAATATGACAATAAATATTGTACTTCTTTTTTTTTTATATGAATATACATATAATTAATGTACAATGCATTGTAGATGTATAATATGTATGTAATGTATTGCAAAAGGAATGCCATTAATTACTTAATAATATCATATTTGTTGAATCTGAAACGTACAATTAAATTATCAATGGCATTCATCGTATTATGCATTTCTTTTGATGCTATGAATTCCTTTTTTTATGGAAACCAAATTGAGATGAAACTCTTGACTAAAAAAATGTTTTGACAACATTCTAGAAAAGAAGACTCGCAAGTCTTTCCACAGTTTGAAATGATACTCGCAATATAAATTAAACGTTTAAACAAATTTAGAAGATTCTCTTTTCTTATTTTAAATACGTAGTTCAACAACAAGGAGGGGGGGGGGAAGAAGAAAGAAAGGAAAGAAGAGAAAGAACCAAAGAAAATAAAAACAATAACTAAATCATACCAACTAAATCTAACTTACATCATAATGTTATTCTTCAGAAAAATTAAATGCGTAAGGAACAATTGAATTATTATTATGTCCCGTGTGTATAATAACGTCCATAATCTATCCACGAACGTCTTCTTTCTAAATGCTCGTCACTCGCGTCGATTACTCTACTCGTGTCACGTACTTGTACTCGTTGCTGATGCATAGCGCTCAACTGATGCTTCTCCGCGGCACCGCTCTCTTCTAGAGCGGCGACCGTCTCCTGGAACCGGGCGGTCATCCATCGTTTGAAAGCGTCGGCGGCTACCGGGTCGTGGGCACGAATGTCCTGATACTTCTCCTCGAGATCACTCCAGTCCTTCATCACCTGAAAACGTTGTAGCACAAAGATTTCGACACTAGCGTCCCGCGAGATAATAGCTATCTCTTGAAACTTGACCGTCTCTCTCTGTCTTCTGCAATAATTCTCTCTCTCTCTCTCTCTCTCTGTTTTCCAAAACTGCTTATCTATCCTACAGTTTAGTAAACTACATTACTTTCACGATGTAATAAAAAAAAAAAAAAAAAGGAAAGAAAGAAAGAAAGAAAGAAAAAGAAGGAGAATTCAACGAAAGTAAAAGCGAACAACGCAGTGAGTGATAATAAAAAATAATTTAATAATTGAAAGAAAAGAAAAAAAGAAAAACGTCTCGAGGACATTTTTGAAAATCTATTGTTTCTTCTTCTTTATAGGTAAAATGCCTGGACGAGATGAAATGGGGAAGCGAGCTAGGCGGTAAACACCCGCTTACTTTTGTCACTTTCTCCTTGTGCACCTCCTCGAGCCTCATTTGCGCTTGCTTGTAGCTCTGGTGCTCGGAACGTGGATCGAAATGAGTCAGATACGGATCCGGCGTGCTCTGCGACTGAGAGGATTGCTGCGTGCTGGTGCTAACCGGCAACGGCATCGCGGTCACGTCCTGCTTCGGTTTCTCTGTGGTTGAAACTGTTGTTGACAATCGGCTACGGCATAACGAACATGTGTCTCGCATTAGTGAATTTATATGCCATTTAATAATCACGCGGCAATAATTACAAGCTGATCTGATCGGGGAAATTTGATTATATATACACGCCCAGCGAATTAATTAGGCAATTCAATCGTTTGAAAATCGAGCTGGTTGCTGGCTTGCTGCAGTGCTCGGAAATTTCGCAAATTCGACGATTTCGAAAGTTACAACATGCAGTATGCTTCGAA